TAAAAGTAGGCCATGTGCAAAAGCCTAGCCCAAAGCGTGACACCATGGCGTGTCTTAGACCACACTAATAGTGACAGTAGAAACAACTGACTTCCATTGATTGGCTACTCAGCCTTCGCCGTTCTAAACATTTTGTGATTATCAGCTCATTTGATATTCATGAGCAACTTGCCATAATGACATCAGCCTAGTATGATTTTCATTTCTAATGAGAAAACTGGAGCCCAGAATAGATAAATAATAACCCAAAGTCAAGAAGTGGGAACCCAGATTCGATAGGGTCTTTGCTAATGGTTTCAGTGCCCGAAGCAGTATCGTCATTGTCGCGTCGCCACCATCCTGCTCTCCGAACTTCTCACTGCGCTGTGGAGTCTTCATGTGTGAGTACACCAGACGGACGGTCTCCCCAGATCCGGGTATGGAGGGCCTGCTCCATTGAAAGCGCTCCAATGTTTGAAAAAACTGAGGCCCCTTTACCGGAAGTTTAAGAAAGATGCTCTTCATGATGTATTGACTGTCAGATGAAAGTGCAGCTTCTGGGGAATCACCACCTGAGACTGACATACTTACAACACACCTACATCTTCAAGACCTCTGCATGGGGAGTCAGAGAGACTCCAAAGGCACAGAGCCTGTCCTCAAGGAGTTTCTGGCCTGGATGCTGTGAGGGGCAAAGCAGGGCTCTTTCGCAGAACAGAACAGAGCTGCTGAGCTAGGGGCTGGACCAAAGCAAGGGCCCCAGATGGTCTTTCCCTGAAAGTTCACATGGCGGTTGTGTAGTCTCACGGGCCAGCAGCATGTAGAGGTGACCTCCTCCACGTGGAACCAGGCAGCATTCAGTGGATCTCAAGCTTGAGAGCAGGGAGAGGGGAGAGGGAAGCCCCAGAAAGCTGGAGTGTCATTGGTTGATTTCAGTGTTCTGCTCCCACACTGTGGGCGGGGTCACGGCACAGAGAACACAAATTCCGTGTTTCAGTGTGTGACTGAGTCCCGGTACAACCCTATGTACTACCCAGCTGATTCTCCAGTAAGGTCTGGAAACAATCCAAAACCGTTCAAATAAAAACAAGCGAAACAGGAGATTTGGGCGGCAATGTAGCTCAGGAGTGTGCTTGCCTAGCCTGCACCGCATCAACAGGGTGGTGCACACACCTGTAATCCCAGGGCTCGCGAGACAGAAGCAAGAGGATCAGAATTCAAGGTCCCCCTCAGTACATAGTAGCTTTGAGTCCAGCTTCAAACTTGCTCAAAGAAAAGGAAGCGAGGAAGGAAAAAAAAATGAAAAACTGAACTGTTTATGTGGAGGGAGAGAAGCAAGGAAGATGCCGGTGTTTGACATGCCTCTTGTCTGTCTTCACTCAGTGTGTAATCTGGCTGATTCTGAACTTTGCAGTTTCTGGATCAGTCTTTGAAATCGCCGCCAAACTTGAAATACACAAAATTACATTTTCTGGTTGGAGAAGCTTTTGCTGATCAGCAGTTTGTACCAAATGAGTATCGAAGGAATGACATATTTGCATTACATTTTATTAAATCATAATTCATTACTCTGTGGCATTAACAGAAAATGCACAGTCTCGATTGTGACAGCCTGGGAAGGATATCTTTGTTTAAATGAGAGTGTTAAAGCATTATAAGCAGTATGTCATATCATAAATAGATAATGTGTATATACAATGAGTGTGTATCACATGTACAAAAATTCTGTTGGAAGGTATGATTATTTGGACAAAGTGAATAAACACAAGGTAATTATCCTGCTAATTTTTTATTAAGAAATAACATTTTATGCAGAGTACACTTCAACTCCTGCTTTGAATTCCAGGGTCACACAGATGAGGGCAAATTTGAGAGATAAATGTCTGCCTTAGTTAACAGGGTGCAGCGGGATGCTAGGCCAGCAGCTGTCCAGCTCCTCACTCTGTAGACCAGGCTAGCTGCAGACTCACAGATCCGCCTGCCTCTGCCTCCCGAGTGCTGGGATTAAAGGTGTGCGCAACCATGTCCTGCTTGAAATCTTCAAATTGTGACAAATGAGCCAAGAAATAAACACACTTTCCCCCAAATAGAACAAGTCTTTACTCTTCTTACTTTAAAAACACTTCGTATGTGCTCACTTTTTGACTCTGTGCTTGTGCCCTCAACATTTTCACAGTAATTTTCTCCTCAGCAAGGAAAACACACTGGATCCAGTCACCAATGTGTTCAGCACACACACACAGACACACACGAGAGGGGGGGAGAGAGAGAGAGAGATTGCTTTTTTGTTTCATTCAGATAATCTCATAAGGACATTAGGTCTCCCAGCATGAGCCCCTAGGAATCTGCCTGGGAACATACCCCCATGCAGATTGGAGCCTTGCTAGCCTTTCTGGTATTATGGTAAGCAGTTCTATTGCCAGGGTTTTGAGACAGCCTAGTATTGTCACGAGCTGTTGTAGGGAAGCCTACGATGGTGTGCAAACGCTGGAAAAATCCTGGGCGCCTCTAAGCTTGGTCCTGGAAGATTATAACTGAACTCTTCAGATGTCCCTGGAGTGCTCCAAGGATAAGACACATTAAATCATTTTCATGTTTTGTTGCTGAACAAGGATCATCCCTCAATGTCAGTCTCTGCTGAGAACATTTCATTAGATTGTCTAGACAAAGTCCAAATGTGTGAGACAGGCTTGTCAATTTACATAGCAAATTTGTCTCTTCTTTAGGTACATCCAGGGTAAAGTAAATTAACAACACATTTTCATTTCCATTAATTGTAGCAGGCTTTTTTGGACTGCCTGCCCCCGAATCATGACATAGAGACTTATTACTAATTATTAAAACTTGGCCTTATCTTAGGCTTGTTTCTAACTAGTTCTATAACTTAAATAAATCTGTTGCTATTAATCTATGTGCTGTCACATGGCTTGAGGCTTTTACCCCTTCTCTTGCATGTCCTGCTTCCTCTGTATCTGGCTGGGGACTCTGCCTTTCTTCTTTCAAGACCAAGCTGTCCCCAGAAGTCCGGCTTAACCTCTTCCTGCCTAGCTATTGGCCACTGAGCTCTTCATTAAACCAATCACAGTGACACATCTTCACACAGTGTAAGGGAATATTCTACAACAACTAATTATCTTTAATATATATGTGCTCTCTAAGATATGATGATTCAACTTGTTTTCTGTGATAAGGGTAAGAAAGCACCCATACAAGCTGGGTGATAGTGGCTCACGCTCTTAATCCCTGCACTCGGGCGGGGGGCAGAGGCAGGTGGATCTCTGTGAGTTTGTGGTCTACAAGAGCGAGTTCCAAAACTACACAGAGAAACTCTGTCTTGAAACACCAAGAGAGAGAGAGAGAGAAAGAGAGAGAGAAAAGAAAAAGAAGAGAAAAGAAAAAAGAGAAAAAAAGAGAAAGCACCCATACAATATCTTGTTTCTCAATCCATTACAGAAATCAACAGACCCTGTGAGACAGATTTACAGAGTGGAGACTATCATAAAACAGGCCTTCTGTTAGATTTCTATCCAACTGTAGACCATGCCCTTGGCACGTTTAGAGCGGGAAAGGTCTAGTTATGCTGTTATGTAGGCTAGGTCTACTAAATGCAGTTTTAAGATATTTTCATCATGCTCGATCAGGGCACCGTGGGCTGAATGGCATCAATAACGGGCTACAGCTCATGCTTGATTCTCCCATATGGACGACTCTGGATGAGGCTGCCCAGAGACAACGTTTACCACTTTGTTCCATTGATTTTTGCTTCCCTGCAAGCTGATCTGCAGTTCTAACCTGCTGTCCCGTGCTAAGGCTTTGGTCATCCCCCACACATCTTGCAAGTTTTTTTCACCAGATTGCAGCCCTGGTGACTGCTCGATGTGAGGGACGGACCCTGCTCCTGACACACCACGGCAGACTTCTGCCCCAGACGCCTGCTTCCTGGTGGGTCCCAAGGACCCACAGCAGAACGGCCAAAACCTACTGGACAACCTTCCAGTTTTCTCCTTGTTAACTTGTTCTTACACCAAGGCAGATCACCGTAGTAAACCACTTCAAGGGATACATTATCCGCTTAACAAAAAGCAGAGAGCCCAGGCAGCAAATGGAGTTTGGCTAAGAACTCTAAAGATGTGAACAATTAAAGTTTGTATTTGATGGCGGTGACACTCATGTCTCTCCCCATAGCCAGAGACTGATCTGTAACATTGATTGGCTGGCTTGGCAATGTGACAATGCTCTGGTTCCTGAGAGATATCTTCTGGCACGGCAGAAGTGATGGTGCTGAATTCTAAGTTGTGGCCAAAAGCTGAGTTAGCTGAATCACCAGCTTTTTCTTGTCAGAGCCAAAGTTAGACTGTATTCAAGAAGTCAGGGGCTGGCCTGTAGTTTATTGGTAGAGCACTTGTCTACAGCGTGTGTGTATGTGTGTGTGTGTGTGTGTTGGGAGGAGCATACGATCTGAAGGAGGGAAGACAGTTGTTCGGTTCAACACAACTAAGTTGCCGGTGTTGGTTCAAACTTCAGGAGTCTGACCCTGAGTAGTTTATTTTAGGGATATTTAAGCATAGCACAATTTGGTGGAAACTTTGCTGGAGATCATTAACTCAGCCCTGTGCACAGTAGAGCACACGTAAATCTCCTTGAGGAACAAAGCTAAAGAAAGATCAGAGGTAACTGCATCGAAATTCTTTGTAAAGTACATGTGACCCCTTCCATAAAGATGGGCTTATAGATTGATGGCAAAACCTTATGATAAGGGTCTGAGGGAGGATCTGGCGTGGTCCTGGCCACACAGTGCAAAGGTCAACAGGCTATTAACCACGTCCCTTCCCAGACTTCTGGGTGGATGACAGGTTCTGCACCCCCAGCTTCCCCCTTTGAAAGAACAACCCTGGTTCTTTCCAGGTTTCTTCTGGCTTATCTGTGAGCACAGGGACCTCTGTGCCTTGTCTAGCATTCACAAAGCCCCGGACTCAACTCCCAACACGATGAAAGAAGAAAAAAAGCTAGCAAACTGGCTCTGTCTTTTAATTTTCAGAAATAGAATTTTATTGACTGTCAAACAGGATAAGTCATATAAAAATCAACTCCATCAAACCCCTCCATTTCATTCATTTAATGTTCACACAAAAATAAGCCTCCACATGTTTTAATGATTAAAGTGAAATGATTTCACATCAAATGTTAACCTCTGATGAAATTTTCTTTTTAACTCCAGGCTTGTAGATACATCGAGGATAAGCAGCCCCCATCCCACACGCATACTCTATATTTGAATGGTGACTTGTAGACAGAGCATTTTCCTGAGAAGCAAGGAAAGCGAAGATGCAAAGGGAGTTTTTCTATGGGGCTCAGCCAACATGCCATAAAGCAAGAGGTTCCAAAAAGACCACACTTCCCATGTAACAGGTTGTCTGGAGAAGAAACACAACTCATACCATTGCGCTGGCTGCCTCTGAGCTCCCACAAGTTCCAAGAGTTTCTCACTTTTAGAATTAATTCAGTCCTCTGGTTCTCCTTCCAGTAAGCTGCTCCCTGGGAGAGCAGGTCAGGAAGCTGTCTTTCTTCTCTGAGGCCACTAATAATTGGTAAAAGAACCGGCTATTGAGTGCTGACAATGGGATGTACCCACGAGCCAAACAGGTCACCTACAGGTGATGGGCACTTTCACAGCTCCTGCGCTGAGATGAGCTCCTGATCATACAAGCTGGTTAGTATGATGACCCTTTCACAGGAAATATTTCCTATCGAATTACAAATCTCAGCTCCTAGACTTTAGGATGGACTTCTAGTACTAAAACACAATCTTTCCTGGATTTCTAGATCCATATACATAGGTTTTCTTTAGGTCATGGCTTCCCGACTAACTCCCACATCATTCATTCCTGTTCCCTACCAGAGAACTTAAATCACTGAAATAGAAGACGAAGAAGAAGACGAAGGAGGAGGAGAAGGAGGAGGAGAAGGAGGAGGAGGAGGAGGAGGAGGAGGAGGAGGAGGAGGAGAAGGAGAAGAAGAAGAAGAAGAAGAAGAAGAAGAAGAAGAAGAAGAAGAAGAAGAAGAAGAAGAAGAAAAGCGCAGTAAAAGACTTGCAGGAAAGCCTACCCAGAAGCTACTCAAAATTCTCTCAGGAAGCTGCAAGCCATGGAAGGGTGTAACTTTATTTCCTGGGTAGTGTGTGGTGGCTTCCAACATGTTCTCGAAGAACGGAAGAATATGCCATGCTCAAGTCAACCGAGAGAGCCTTCCAGCACAAGCATTTCAAAGGAACGCGAGAAGGACAAGGTTTCTGTTTCAATAGAAGTGGATTATTTTAGAGTACACTTGGAAGTTTAAACGTGTACAGATTCAGAGGTTTAGAAATCACTGAAAAGCACAGACGGGGCTTAGGAAGCAGACGGCTGGGACCCTTTCTTCTCACTTAATCCACGCCTGGTTTTGCACTCCTCACAGGTAAGCAGGCAGTGCCTAGAAGAGAAGCAGACACAGCTGGTGACCCCTACTTTGACCACGAGAGCTCTCTCTGTGTGTTTGCGCCACATGTATGTGTGTGTATGAGCCTGTGCACATGTGCACGAGGGTGTACCTGCTGTGTGGGTGCATGTGGAGGCCAGAGGCCAACACTGGCTGTCATATATTTTGAGACAGGGCCTCTTACTAGACCTGGAGCTCACTGATTAGGCTAGGCTGGGTGCTCAACTTTTATGGGGTGCTAGGATCCAAACTCATGCCCTCACTGCTGGCACAGAGAGAAAATTTACTGGCTGAGCCATCCCGCAGCTCCCCAAACACTCATCTTACCAAAGTAAGCAAGGTGTAGAGACATTTTTGGTTTTATAGTTCACTAGCTCACTTTTTTTTTTGAATGGCGCATTAATTGTTTCTTGGGTTCCAATTAGCCGAAGTTCATTCAATAACGATGTTTACATTGAAACAGATGGCTGCAGTTATGCACAGAGTCGCTCATAAGCCGGGTAAACATCACGACTCTCTGACCTTGAGTTACTGGGGTGATTTCTACCACAACAAAAAAACAAATCATAAAATGTTCCAGGTGCGGGGGCTGACTCCTGTAGTCCAGAGCTTGGGAGCTAAGCTGAAAGGAGACCAGTCTGGGTCGTAGAGTGAGAGTCTTGTCTAAAAGAATAACGAGACACACACATCCCCTTCTCTTGGACTGCAGCTTCGTCAGGAGCCTGTCGTCCTTTTACTTCACCAGGACATCAGATTATTGCCTCTGGAATGAGAGGGCAGTGGCCTTTGACACAGAGCTTAGCCACTGGTTCCCACGTACCAATGCCAGCCCACAGCGTAGCTTTTGGTGCCAGAAGTTGGCAGGCAAAAGAACTACAGAATGCCAATCTGAAAGGGGCCCCAGAGACCCTTTATCCTCAACCGCCTCCTTCCATGTACATGAAGTATAGAACAATGTCTAGAGATGTCTGGAAAATGCACATTGCTTCATTGTTCCGGAACCCAATGTTGGTTTAACAACAAGAAAACTGTCCCCAAATGGAAGAGGGCGAGAAAAGCGTCAACACAGTGCCTCCCTTGCTGACAGCCTTTCTGTTTTCCTTGTACACCTCAGAATCTGGTGCCAATGGCTCTGGATGCTGACCCCAAAACACAGCTTTGCAGGAATGCAGAGACACAGGAGTTGTCCGTAAACACAGCGCTAATGCCTTCCTGCTGGCCTTGCAAACAATAAAGGGAAGGGTCAGGGTTTGGAAATGAACGGGAGACTGAAGTCTCTTCTTCCTATGGCCACCAGTGTCTTCTCAGAGAGACTCTGCATAGCATGTAACTCCTAGGGTAGGGATAATGGCTAAAATCCATCCACTTGTACCAGACTGTAGCATTCTAAAGTCACACAGCCAGAAGGCAACTTGACCTTGATTGACATCTAGCTTAGCTGCTGCCCCTCAAGTAGAACATACTGGGGCAGGCTCAATAGAGCGCTTCCTCACATATACAGGGCCCCATGTTAAATCCTCAGCACTACACACAGCAGGTTATTACAGTGCTGGTGATGTACAGGCACACACAACAGACGTGCGCCTGTAACAACCCCAGCACTCAAGAGGGGAGGAGGATACAAAGTTCAAGGTCATCCTTGGACTGTGCCATGAGGTTGAGGTTAGCCTGGGCTAAATGAGGTACTCTCTCAAAGAAAACAATCAAAGAAACTGTGACAAGTGAGGGGTCTTCAGCAGAATGTGTCCCCAACTAGTTCTATGGCATTATAGTAGAAACAGTACTTGTTCGAGTGTCACGAATAAGCATTTTCCTTCCTCCTGACATCCCGGGGAAGTTATTCTGGTCATCACTTTGGACAGATGAGAAACCTGAAGATTTGAGTTTAGGAAAACTGTGGTAGAACTTTCAGCCCAAGAACCCTAGGAGCACAGGCCTCGCTGTAGACTCTAGTCTCCTGCTTATTGTCCCTGAGAAGAATAAGTACAGCTGTCAGGACACTCTGTGTGTGTGTGTGTGTGTGTGTGTGTGTGTGTGTGTGTGTACGTGTGCACACATGTGTGTGATATTAAAGGCTCTGAGAAGCTCTGCAGTAAGGAGGAAGGCTTAAATGGTGAGCAACTGTGCAATGAAGACACATCTGCTCCCAAAGGAATTCCTCAGAGGGTTAAACAAGGCCTAGACTGTAGTAGTTGCCCATTAAATACGCACTGAATAAACAAAATAGGTGATTAAGTTAAAAAATAATTGTTGAAGTTGAATAGTAATAAATCAAAGTTTGAGGTTTAAAGAGATTTTTCTTAAATAAAATTGTTAATATGCCTAATATTACATAGAGTAATATTTCATTTCACTTGTTAGTTTGTTTTTGTTGTTGTTTACTTTTGCTGTTGTTGTTTTTAAGATAGGGTCTCACTATATTGCTCTGACTGTCCTGGAACTCACTGTGCAGACAGGTTGCTTGGCCTTGAACTCACAGAGATCCTCCTGCCTCTGCCTCCCAAGTGCTGAAATTAAAGGCATCGCCACCACACCTGGCTGTTCCTCTCACTGTCTTCATCACAACCCCTCCAGACTACAAACCTGTTATGCTCGGGACCAAAGCCAGCACCACGGAGCTGATCCTCGAAGGAATGGAATTTACTCTGGCACACTCTTATGTAGGAAGCCTTCCCAAGGCCGAATCCCAGGATCCCAGCCACTGCGAAGAAAGCAGGTTAGGAAACACAGTCAGGTAACTGAAAAGCTTGGAATTGTGCCCATGAGCCTCCGCCGACACCTTCCTAACACCGCTCATTTTCACACCATAACAAGCTTCCTGCTCATCCCAGCGCTTTCTGATCTGCAGAGTAACAGCAGGGACATAACCCCCCCGCCCAGCGAACCTGCATTCAAAGGCTTTGCTGCTGACAGTGTGGACAATCTTACTGCCACTGGTTCCACCACCACCAGAACGAAAGAAACAGTCGAGAAAAAAACCTGCATCTATTCCAAACACGTACAGGCCCTTGATGCATCGTTCCCCAAGCATCACATAACAACCACGCACACAGTGTTTGCATTGTGTCACATGTTCTAGGTACCTGGAGGCTGTCTGGAGAGTAAACAGAAGGATGTGCACCATCAGATGTAAAGAACCATCACTTATAAGAGCGACGCAGGCCCCTGCAGACATGGGTGCCTGCGGGTCCTGGGGGTTATCTCTCATGGATACTGAGAACACTGTATATGTCTTGCTAGCCTTTGTTCATGCTTTATAGAGGACAGTGGTGTAAGTCCCTGCTGTTACTCTGCAGACAGTGTTGGGATGAGAAGGACACTGCAGGCCAGTGGTGGAAAACAGAGAGCGTTTTGTAAGAGTCGGTCACGGCAGCACATTCATATCCACAGGTCTTATAAACTTCGTCAAAATCTATGTGCGTTTTCATTTGTTTCAATGCTGGGACATGAATTCAGGGGCCCCATACTTCAAACCACCCCAGTCCAAGTTGTTTTTATGACTTACATGCAACTTTAGGTAGCGATCCAAATCTTGGGTTGGCAGCTAAATAACCTGAAGAGTAAGACAGAAATGCGTTATTCCATTTAATAATTTAGTTAAATTTGCAAAGAAAACATCCACGCTGAAGATACAACATTTCTAAGATGCTCACGTTATTAATCTGAAGAAATGGTTTCAGAAGAGTTATAATTCAACCTGAGACTGAAGTTAACCCCCATAGCCGTCTCAGGCAAATGGTAAATATTGGTTTTAACATGTGGAAAACAAGATGAAAGCCACAATTAAAAGTCAATTTAAATTGATTCAAATAGGCTAGTCACCATGTTCTACTTTTAAGAGTAACTCAGCAAAGAAAGTCCACCTCAGAGGTTCATAGTATACACATCCCAATTTAATTCTTATTTATTATTAATTAATTAAAGAAAAGTGTCTATATGTAGCCCTGGCTGTCCTGGAACTTACTATATAGATCAGACTGGCCTTGAACTCATAGATCTATACACCTCTGCTCCCGAGCGCTGGTGTCACCAGGCCTAACCCATCATGATTTTTAAATGAAAACATTGTAATTTGTGCTAGGCACTAGGAAGATTAGCAGGCTTATAAATATAATTTATAATTATAATCTCCGGTAACTCTGGATATGTTATACTGCAGAAGGGAATTAAGGTATAAAATAGAAATAAACCACCTCATCAGACAGACAACTGTGAAATAGGGAGACAGTCCTGAGTGGGGCAGGTGACTAAACATAATCACAATGATCTCTGGTTAGCACTGAAGAGATCAGAAGTGGAAAAGCTTGGCTCAACCTAGCTGGCTTTAGAGACAGAGGAAGAGGCCACCAGCCAAGGAGTGTACGTTGCCTCTGGAAGTTGGAGAAGGGAAAAGCGATGAACATTCAGGAGAAATACAGCTGTACCCCCATCTTGATTTTAACCTAGTGAGACCCATTCTTCTTTTAAAAAATATTTATTTATGTTTGTATATGAGTGCCCCATGTACATACAGAGAGGGGCATCAGATCCCATGATAGATAGTTGTGAGCCACCATGTGGTTACCGGGAACTGAACTCAGGACCTCTGGAAGAGCAGCCAGTGCTCTGAACCACTGAGCCATCTCTCCAGCCCCAAGTGAGACCCATTCCAACCTTGGCCTCTGGATAATAAATGCATACTGCCTTCAGTTATTGTGCTCACAGCAACTTATTTTTAGCAGCTGTAGAAAACTAGGATTTAACCCTGAATAGCACAGATGCAAGAGGTTGGGTAGATTTGAAGTAGGTGGATATTATAAGACCTCATTCCACAGATTCTGGCCCTATTTCTGTATCAAAACTATTTTAACAAAAATCCTGGTGGTAATTGGTGAATTTTCTTCTACAAAAAGATCACCCTCAAGTTATAAAAATGAAAATATATTTAATACAAGACCTTTATGGATAAGAATAACAGCATCCAAAGGGGAATTTTCCTAGACACGTGACCTACTGATCTTCAAGAAAAAAAGAAAAACAGGACATTTCCCCTTCATGCCTGTAGATATTGATTTTTGTTTTTACCTTTTTTTCAATGACATCTATCTTTACTAAAGTTTTTAATTTTTTTCAAGCATTTTTAGAATCATGGCAGTTAGTAGCATTTGATAAGATGGGTTTACAGAGGGCCAGGTTCCCTGGGAGACACAGGGACTTCTCTAAGGCACAGGCACTATTGGAGTCCCTGTCTCTGCCATCAGAGAGGGCCACCAACTCAGTGGGCTTAAGATAATGTGAATTTATTATCTTACAGGTCTTGAGGTCAGCAGTCCAAAGTCAGTAAAAGGACAAGCCAAGGTAGTAAATGCATCCTTAAATGGCTGCCTTCTTTTCTGAAAACACTAGCCCTGACATGCTCAGCGTTGTGGTTTGAGTGTGAAATGACTCCACAGGCTCATGTGTTTGAACTTGGGGTCCCCAGCTGAGAGTGTTGTTTGGATGATAGAAACACTAGAAGTGGAGCCCCATTGAAGGAGAAGGCTTCTGGAGCTGGGTGTTGAGCTTTCACAGCCTGAGCAGACTTCCTTCCCACTTCCTGCTTCCTGATTATAGTCACGATGTGACCAGGCGCTTCACAGTCCCCGCCATCATTCTTTCCCCACCACGGCAGACTACATCCTTCCTGAAATAAGGAGTCAAAATAAGCCCCTCCTTCCTTAAGCTGCTTTTGTTGGCATGGCAACAGGAACAGTAGCCACTACATTCATGGCCCTTTCCAGGGTCTTCAAAGCCAGTCATGCTGAGTCCAAACTTGCTGTTTCTTTAGTAATGCCTTCCAGTCCCCTTCTCCATTTACCGTGCCTCTTTAGATGAGAAATAAGTCAATGATAATCTATTTCAAAGTCAGCTAATAACCTTAGTGACACCTGGAACTCAAATTTCTCATTATCAAGTAATCAAATACATTCCGCCTTTTGTAGAGCTAGAAGCTTTAGCTTGTTGTAGAATAATCTCTTTGTGCCCTGTGAAGATATGTCTTTGCCAAGGTGCCTTCTGATTGGTTAGGCAAGAGCTACAGGTGGGACTTCCAGGCAGAGAGGAGACTCTGGGAAGAAGAGAGGCAGAGAAGCCAACCAGATGCAGAACGAGCCAGGCAACACTGAATGGGACAGAGGTAAAACCCATGTGGTAGAATGTAGATTAATATAAATAGTTTGATTTAAGTTATAGTAATAGTGGAATGAGCCTAAGCTATAGGCCGAGCTCCCATAATTAATAAGTCTCCATGTTGTTATTAGGAGCTGGCTGGTGGGACAGAAAAAGACTCACTACATTAGCTAAAAACAAGCAAAAGCATGCATGAAGCAAACATCTTCAACCAATAAGATAAATGTCCAAGGGTTGCAGGGAAGGCCACCAAAAGCTGGGCTCTCTGAAGTTAAAGCATTAGTAAATACTGATGCTTACCTTGGTGGACAAGTCCCTGGGTGACAAGCATGCTTATAAGAGAAAAAGGCAGAGCTGTAAAACAAACAAACAAACACCCCTCAATATTAGTATCTTGGGGAAGGCGAGATTGCTCACTGGGTACAAACACATCTCCAAAGCATGGTGACCAGAGCGTGATTCCCCAGGACCCATATGGTGGAGATGGGGGTGTGTGAATCAACTCCTGTAAGCTGTCCTCTGACTCCATATGTAAACCACATGTACATGTACATGCATGCACATCTTCACCACATACAATTTACCAAGAATAACAACTCAGGCCCCTTGCTTAGAAATCAGGAAAAACTAATTCTAACATTTTTTTTTCTTACCTGAATTGGCAGTGAGTTTTATCCCCCCCACCCCCACCCAAGCCAACTATGTAGCCCTGGTTGTCCTGGATCTCACTCTGTAAGTCAGGATGGCTTGAACTCACAGAGATCCTCCTGCCTCTGCCTCCCACATACTGGGACTAAAGGTGTGCACCCCCACATTCAGCTTTATTCACTTTGCATGTTACAGTCGACAAATATTTCTTTAAAACTACATGGGTAAGTTTCTCGGGATTTATCCCAATAGCTCAGCCTGATGCACAGTAATAATCTAAACTGACACCCCACCCTCAACTTCATCTCTGATATCCGTGTTTACTGAACACTCAATATGCATATGACTCTAATGGCTATATCCAACAAAGGTCTCTTAGTGTGTGTTCACTTAGCTGTAATCTTGGGATATACATACATACATACATATATATATGTATGTGTGTATGTGTTTTTCAAGATAGGGTTTCTCTGTGTAGCCCTACATGTTCTAGAACTCATTTTTGTAGCCCAGGCTGGCCTCAGACTCTGAGATCCACCTGCCTCCACCCCCAAAGTGCTGGCATTAAAGGCATGTACGACCATCACCCAGCTATATTTTGCTATTTTCAATCCTACATAAAGTTTGAAAAGCAATAGCATGAACTTTCATACAGCCTTTTTTTAGACACATTAATTACAGATTTATCTCTGGATGTATCCCTAGAGTTTGCTTCGTATCTGTCATTACTTATTTTTTCTGAGCCATCTGGGATTTGCAAACACCATCACTCTTTATAACTGAATATTTTAACAGGTAGCTTCTAAAATCAAGTTAATGTCTGCTGCACAACCACCACACCACTAACATAGGAAAAAATCTGTTTGAATATTCAGACTCAAGAGGTCTATCTTCTATATACAATCTATATTCTAATCTCTCCAACTAGTCCAAGAATGTCCCTGAGAGCTGCAGGTTTTTTTTCCATCGTGGAAGATCAAGGATTATGCACTGTGTTGAATGTCCAATCTGTTTCTATCTAGGGCAGTTTCCTGTTGTTTCTGTTTTGATGTTTGTCTTTCTTAACCTTCTGCCCCATTGTTGGCTGTCTGCCTGAAGAGGCACACTGAAGGTTAGAAACAGGCTCCATTCCTGCTAAACACACGCAGCGTGTAGTTAAGGTTCTTTAGTGTAGTCCACTGAGTCTGGTTTAAAGGGTTTCTAGCTCTCTCACGATGTGTCAGATGGCCTCTTCCAAAAGCAAAGAGCCTTCCTAGCAACTGAGGCGAAATCATAGCAGTTGGTTTCCCATCATGTCTGGGAACCGGATGGGAGGCTAACAGGCCACACTGATGTGCGAATCTACCAGGCCAGTTAAACTACCGGCTCAGAGGTTCTCAGAAAAGACATGAGATTCTAAAAAAGCAATCAATAGTAACAGTGATGCATGATGAATATCAAATTATAATTGTTCAATATAGACTATGAATGGTTTATGAGATCAAGAATACTGCAGTCTTGATTATGCCTCTGTCGGTAATATACAGTACTGGGCTGGATGATAGGCTCCATTATGCCACTCTCAACTGTCAAATTATGAATTTATTAAACCAAAAGGGATTTTTAATACAGAGTAAATTCACAGCCTTGTCTTATGTAAGGCAATCCTGGATGAAGAAGCAATGCAGCAGAAAACAATATTATAGAGAGATGTATCGGTGGATGCTAGGAGCTCCAGCCCAATCAACAAACACTTCCGAGGTAGAGGCCATGGGTGAGGCTGTGGAATGAAGTCCAGGTGGACCTGGCACCACCTCTGAGCTGAGACGCTGGTGCAATTTACCAAGGTCTGCTTTGTGGAAGTAAGGCATGTTATATAAAACTTTGGGTCTGTGTTCTTGCTTCCAGGAAAGGAAGAGACACGTATGTTTTTACTGGGTGAGGAACAGGGCTTGACAATTGCTTATTATCTCTCCCTGAAGAGGATAGCATGGATTCAAACTTTAAACCTCCACAAACACCCAAGTTCTTTAGGGACTTATGCAAAATTCCTGTTCAAAATGAATCCGGCATCGTGATTCTATTCTAATAGGACACGGAAGTAGTCTATTGTTGCAACATTAATTATTAAATCAATTGTTAATTTATTTATTTTAGTAAATTTATTAAATTGAACAACTTATGGTTAAATGGTTGATTATGAAACTATGCATTAAGACCCAGAGGGTGTGAGTACCTCTCTTCCAGAAGCTTTCTTCTTGGCACTCTCGGATGATCTTGGCAATCTCTCCTCTGTGGATGTGCAGTTTTGACTTTGGGCAAAACAACAGGCTCTGTAGGGAAAGACACTGAGGGTTAACTCGGAGGACCCTGAGTACAAGGCCAGCCTGGGCTTGACAGTAAGATCCCATCTCAAAGTAAAACTAATAAAAGCTATAGGTAATATAAAACTGAGGTCACAAAAGCCTCCACCGTGTTTCCTCTGGAAGGGGATGGGATGTGTCCTGCTCATGGCTAGCTGTCCCCACAGACCAGTGGCCACTAGCCACCGCTTTCCAGCTGGCCCTGCCACAGAGACTTGGACAAGGCGGACTTTCTGCTTGAGAGACAGGGTGGTTCAGTGACCGGGGTGAGCCAACAGCTCTCCCAGGCTGAGCGCTGCCAGCAACCAGATCCTCGCTCTGCTCTACGCTGTCCAGGGCTCTCTGTAATCACAATGCTGGCCTGATCCTTTACCTAATTAAGTTCCAGCTCGGTGTTGCATCTGTGGAAGAAACAGATTTGTTGATTTTGATACCTTTTTTTAAGAAAGACTTTTTGCTTGTGACTATCAGTGTGGATGCTGGCGCCACCATTCTTTGAGTCCTTCTCATGGTCCAGGCATCATTTTCATACCTGGCAAACATGCACAGTGACACATTGACAGGGCGGAAGGACCCTGTGGTGCCTATGATTCTGTAATTGTGCAAGCTGGTAACCTCTCCCGTTCGTTTCTCTGCTCCTCCTTCCGACACAGTGGAGGGATGCAGAGGTCAGGGCGACTCCCGGAGATCAGCAGCTACGGCAATGCACACCAGTGGGACAGGCAGCGTTGGTACGGCTGCCCTTTGGATCCTCAGAGCAAGCCACTCCTCCCCACTTCCAGGGTAAATACCGATGGTCCCCGACTTTGTGGTTCATATTTGTGTGTGTGTGTGTGTGTGTGTGTGTGTGTGTGTGTGTGTGTGGTCTATGAAAGCTTACATGCAGATGTGTGGGGATTAGAGGTTGACAAGGAGTGTCTCTTTCCATTTTTTTTTGTGTGTGTGTGTGTTGTTTTATTTTGTTTTTAAAGACAGCATTTCTCAATTTCTCATTGAACCAGAGCTGATTGGTTCAGTTAGTCTGGCAAGCAAGCCTCAGGGATCCTCTAACTCAGTCTCCCTAGCACTGGGATTACAGGTGTGCTGCCCCTGGATTTTTATGTATGTGTTGGGGATCTGAACTCAGGTCCTCACGCCGGTGCTTCCGGCATTTTACCAGCTTCCTGAGGATTTTGCCACCTCCCCAATCCAGTGGTTCAGATTGTTATTTTACTTAGCATATTGTGCTTGATAGTTGTATGTCAACTTCATACAAGCTGATGCCATCTGAGAGGGGGGAACCTCAATTAAAAAAAAACGCCTCCATGAGATCTGGATTGATTAAGGTAGAAGGGCGCAGCCTATTATGGGTGAGGTCACCCCTGGGCTGGTGGTCTGGGATTCTCTAAGAAAACAGACTGAACGAGCCATGTTGAGCAAGCCAGTAAGCAGCACCCCTCCATGGCCTCTGCATCAGGTCCTGTGTCCAGGCTCCTGTCCTGTTTGAGCTCCTATCCTGACTTCCGTTGATGCTGAACTGTGATGCAGAAGTGTAAGCTGAATAAACTCTTTCCTCCCTGACTTGCTTTTGGTCAGAAACTCCGACTAAGAAACAAGGTCTGAAAGTGACCTACAGTCAGTGGAAACTACATTTTGAAGTTTAAAATTGTCCTAGGCTAATGAAACGCAGTCTGGTATTTTCTCATGATGGTGGACATTCGCATGGAGGCACAGCTTCAAGTTAGCAGTGAGACCACAAGATCACATCCATCACAAGATCACATCATCACAAGATCACACCCATTACAAGATCACACCCATCACAAGATCACACCCATCACAAGATCACATCTACAGCGCTCTGCAGTGGACCACAGCGCTAGGATTCCCAGTAGCTGTGTAAACCAAAACCAGTTTCAACCTACAGAGGGTTTATTGAGACAACATCCCATTGTCAATCAAGCCATATCTGTATCTGTTTCTTGTCCTCTCTGGAGCTGGGGCAGAAATAAAGAAAATCCCCAACATGTACAGGGTAATCCACACATTCATTCAGATCTGACCACCATCACTTCTGCGAGTCCAGCACTCGAGATCAGAAAGTGGGGCTTGGGAGATCTTTTTCAGTAGTGCCATGAATGTTTTACAGTTCTCTATTTCACAGGGGCAGCTAAGGTGTCCAAATGCCTCTCCTTGTGACCTGATGTCATTTGTCTGTTTGTCCGGTACTTTGCCGCTTAAATGTTCTCCTAGAAACCACGCCTAGTGTGAAAAGTTGACTCCAGAGAACATGGACCCCAGTAACCCATCAAATACCTGCTTTCCCTTTCATCCAAATGCTTCTGAACCACAATACCCACTCTTCCCAAGCTAGTATGTGGGCTCTCAACCTGATGGCTGGTTAGCAATTACGGATGCTGCTATGTTGAAAGCAGCATGCAGCAGCATATGTTCAGAATAATCACCCTGCGCAGCACAAATGAGGAGTTAAGATGCCGTGTCGTTCTGCTAGGGACAAACCATGGCTTTGCTCTGCCGCGGCACACCTGCCCAGTCACTGGCTGTGGCGAGAGAGCGAAGATGGATTCTGAACAGGAAGGAGTAAAGAAAGCGATCTGCAAACAAAATCTTAACAGGCTTTTCAAGAGAACCCGACTGTGTTTTCCTCCTTACTCCATCTTCCCCGCTTCCGTCTGACAAAGGACCGGGCTGGGAAAAAGTGTTCATAGCTCAAGAGCTGTCTTAGTTGCTAAGGTACCCGCCACACAAGCATAGGGGACAGAGTTTGGATCCCCAAAGCCACTTGAAAAGCTGGATGTGCTGGCACGTATCTGTAACTTCGGTACCAAAAAAATGGAGACAGGGTATGCCTGTAACTTCCTGGCCAGTTAGTCTGGCTGGATCAGTGAGCTCTGGGTTCACTGAGAGATCCTGTCTCAGGAAAGGAAGTGAGCGCTAGTGAGATGGCTCAGAAGGTAAAGGCGCCGGCTACCAAGCTTGATGACCTGAGTTCAATCCACTGAACCCATGCAGTAAAAGGAGAGAAGTGACTCATGGCTCCTGCAGGCTGTCCTTTGATCGTCAACACTTGCCACGACATGTGTGTGGGTGTGGCACACACAATACATTATAAGTAAATATAAAAAAATTAAAAAATGATGTAGAGTGACTAAGAAGATGCTGAATATTGGTCCCTGCTCTCCAGGTACAGGAACACTCACACACACACACACACACACACACACACACACACACACACACACAGGGTCAGGTGATTGATTGAGGACAGGATCTAGTGGCAGCCTTGTGTGATAATTTTCCTTAGAATCTCAAACTAACACACATACCTGCTTGCTAAACGGTGGCAAGTGGGGACTTTTCTCTTGGCTTCCATGAGTGGACACCGAGGCCATGATGATGATGTCCTTTCTTCAATGCCAGTCGAATGCTCTGAAGACTCCTTGGCCTGACGATTAAGGAAAGCAGAAGAGACTCACTGTACTAGGTCTGAATATTTATGTATCAGGTTTCAAAACACCTCTCATATCAGCGATTCTAACTTAGAAAACTTATTATTTTCATTTTTTTAGGTTTTAACTTGCAGCCATCTATAAACTTGAGCTTTTTAACAACTGTTTATTTTTGGGGGTGCAATGGTGTGTATTGTATCATGTACACATGGTTGTTATGAGGAGGCTGCTTGTTCGTTTCCTGGCCTTCTTACACCACACGGAGGTCAGGGGACAACTTGCAGGAGTCTGTTCTCTCCTGCCATGTGGGTTCCAGGAAGCAAACTTGCGTTGTCTGGCTTGGTGGCAAGTGCCTTTACCCACTGAGCCATCTTACAAGCCCTGCAATCTCAAATTCCTTCTTAAAAAACAAAAAACAAGACTTCTATTTTATAATTATGTGAGGGAGTGTCAGTATTAATGGAGGCCAGAGGAGTCAAATTCCTCTTGGAGCTGGAGTTCCATACAGGCAGCTATAAGCCAGCTAAGGTAGTCACTGGGAACTGAACTCAGATCCTCTGTAAGAGCAGTATGTGCTCTTGGTTGCTATCTCTTTAGTTTCTACAATCTCAATTTCGAATGGCTCGCCAATATACGCCTACACACACGTCCATAATCACATGCACATATACTCACACAGAGCCACAGGTCTGATTTAAGAGAGGAATGAAGCATCATACCATGCACATGCTTTACTTTCTGTAAGTTATGTCTTTAAAACATACCAAAGCATCATTGAAAGTGAGTAACTATTCAAATGTTTGCTGAGCGTCTATGGACAAGCCAAGTATGAGGCTACAAAGGCCAAGATAAACTCAACTGTGTGAAGAGTGCACGCAAAGGGGACGTCTGGTAAGGCAAGAATTATTCACTAGGAGAAGGTCCGGGAAGCAAGGACAGGGGGCTAAGGCAGGAGAGGAATAAGGATCTGCCCTTTCCGTCAGGTGTGCAGACCCCCAATGATACTACAATTCTGTGCTTTCAAGAAGATGCTGGGTGTGGAGGGGGCGGTGTTCAGGAGCAGGACGGAGAGTTTAGACAGTGATTAAACGGTCTAGATATGGAACTGAAGACCTGAACTGACCTCATTGGGAGAGGTGAAGATAAGAAATTTGGGTTTGGACATATTGGATTTGGGTGCTGGTGTGTGTGTGTGTATGTGTGTGTGTGTGTGTGTGTGTGTGTGCACGCACGCCTGTGCACGTGCATGCGCAAACCCTGGAATTAGCCATTAAAGACCAAAATATTTTAGGATCTGTCTGGGTCTGGGATTTCACATTAGGGGAGGATTGGAGAGATGAATTTGAAAACTGCCATCGCAGAGATGAATCTTAAAGCGAGGGACCTGGACACTTTGATCTACAAAGAGTACAGGAGAATGTGAACATTGAACCCAGGAGAATAGTGGTGAGCTAAGAAATAGACCATAGGTCAAGGAAATGGCTGAGTGAAAGGGTGATGCAGCCACCAGGAATCACCAAAGGAGCCATCCACAGTGACCACACAGCCTGGGGCTGGCAAGGATGAACATGCTCCAGGTGGACCATGAGCCTCTTCCTCTTCCCGGTTTAGTCCTGGGCCCCATTGGCTTTCCCACAAAATGGACAGCTCATATGGAATTGTGTTTCCTACATTAGTGACTCAGTGGCAAGAAAAATAAACCCAGGACCCATCTGTACTCTTCATCTTGGGTGCCCAGTGTCAGAGAGGAACACGATGCCCTGTAGTGTTAGATACTGAAGATGATTATAATAACCTGACTGTGTATCCCTCCCCTTCAGACAGAGTCTCACTATGTCACCCTAGGTGTCCTAATGCAGACTAGACTGGCCTTAAACTCACAGAGTTCTGCCACCTGAGTGCTGTGTTAAAGGTGTCTGGAACAATGCCCTGCAAGACGCCAGTTTTAATTCTGACTTCTGTTGCTGATCCTGGGCGTTGGGGCAAAGAATATAAAGTGTCTGAGCCTCGGTTTTGTCACCTGTTAGCTGGGCACAGCTGTGGCAAGGATGGGGAAGAGGGATGAGGACACAGGACCAGGGCACAGTGATGGGGGAGCAGTTGTCAGAGTGGCCCTGGGAATCCGATTTTCTAGGAAATAAAATCCTAGGGAATCTTTGCCACCTACAGCCAAATGAGACTATTTTTTTGCACAGTCAGACCCAGGGCCACCCCAAGAACCAGGAAGGAAGCAAGCACACACCTTAGCGTTGGTGAACTGGGCCCTCCTGAACCCAGCTGTCTCCTTCGGGCATCTGAGCAAGCCTTCTGGGCGAAGCTCTACACACACACACACACACACACTCAGGTCTGGACTAGGGGTGCAATGGCAGCCTGACCCAGTCTGTGTTGGGGGAGGGGAGGCTGACCCAGAATCAGCTAGCTGGGTTCCAAGGCTAGGCCCGCAAAACTACAAGCCAGCACCCCAGCCCGGGGTAGCAGGAATCGGAGGCACTTGGAGAGAAGCATAGCGGGAAGGGACTGAAGATCTGACGCCGCTCTGCGGCGGAGCCTGTGAAGGGTCTGCCCAGCGTCTGCCCACATCGCCAGGACCAGGGAAGGAGAGCCAGCAGAAAAGACACTGCCCCAGGCCACCTCTCTCACCGTCACCCCACCTCTGTGGGCTCACCTGTGCGGGTGAGTGCTTCCAAGGCGGAGCTGCCCCCACCCCCGCCGCAGCTGCAGTCTTCCCACGCCCCCGCTGCCCACACTCACCCGCTCCAACCTGAGCTCTCGGTCCCCTCTTTATCCCTCACCTTTCTTCGCGATCTTCCTTTTCTTCCCTCCTTTCTCCTTCTTCCTGCTCTCGCTCCGCCCCACACTTGTGCGTGCCACTAGCTCAAGAGCAGCCCGCCCCCACTTGCAATCTCTCAGTTGGTGACACGGAAAGGGAGAATCCAGCACTTTAAAGAAGCCCCCGGTTCTCAGTCTCTTCGTGACACCTGATAGGTCTACCTGGATGTCCTTCACGTGACTCAGTCGTCCAGACAAAAACACCAAAAACACGTGACTGTCGTTCCCTGAACCCCCTCTGTGGGCCAGATTAAGGCTCCACCTCTCAGCCATGCTACTGACAGCCGGGTAGGGTCCCCAACCCGAGGGCATTCATTGCAGCCCACCTTGTTTCCTTGCCAAGCTTTCTCCCTGCCAACAACTGGCCTGTGGGGGGAAGGTGGTGGTGGTGATAGTGTGTGGTGTGAGTGTCCTCGTATGTGTGGCTATAAACGTCTGCTTATATGTGAGTGTGTGTTAAGTGTCTATCTGAGCATGTATGAGTATGTATGTGTCTGTATGTGACTGCGTGTTAAGTGTTTATGTGAGTGTGTTAGTACATAGGATAGTATACGAGAGTGTGTGTATGTATGTGTGTGGTGGTGTGTGAATGTGTGTACACATGTGGGAGTGTGTGTGCTCACTCATGCACAAGGATATGAGTACTGAGAATAAGAATTCCAAGAGAGACGCTGTGTCTGCAGGGGCTGATAGATTGATGGAATTGCTGTACTGTGGAGAGACTAGAATGGTCCAGGGCCAGAGACTAATTAGACTCTAATTAGACCTTATCCAGCGTTAGCCACCAGGACTGCATTTCCTTACCCACCTCTCTGTCGAAACTAACAGCCTGCGACTAAGACCATGTGTGTGCCAGTGCCCGCAGAGTCTGAAGCGGGCATCAGATTCCTGGGGACTGGAGTTAGAGAGGCTTGTGTGTTGTCGTATGGGTGCTAGAAACCTAACCCAGGTTCTCTGAAAGAGCAGCAAGTGCTCTGCGCCGCTGAGTCGTCTCTCCCGCCCTCCTCCTGGCATTTCCTGCCCACATTTCCTGATTCCGGCCTGACTGAAGCAGACACTTCTCTGTTGGACAAAGCCGTTTCCTCACAGCACTTGCTACAGTTGCAGTCTCCTGAAGAGAGAGAGCCACACACAAGGGTGAGAGCATCACCTCCACCTACTTCAGTTGACTTTTACAAATCATCGTTTTTGAGAAGACTGGAACTCAGTGATGTGTACCTTAGTGGATGTCTGCTCAGCTCTACTTGCAGACATGTTAATCGTTTAGGGATTGTTTCTCTGAAATTGGCATTACAAGATTGATTACCCCTCCTCCTCCCCTCCTCCACCTTCCGGGGCTGGAAATGGCTCAGTGGTTAGGACCACTGCCCTTCCAGAGGTTTAGGGTTAGGCTCGAAACAGCCTACAATTCCACCTTCAAGGGATATGACTCGTTTCTCTGGTCTCTGTGGGCAGATGTGAGCACGCACACATGCACACACATAAATGAACTAAAAAAATTTTTTTTAAAGATACTATTGTCTTAGATGACTCTCCTCCTGCAGCAGACTGTGCCTCCCCCCGCCCCCCCCCCTTGCAGCCCAGTGGCTTCTCTCTTCCTGCAGGGTTTCGTTTTCTCTTGGCCCAGTTTGACACTCAGATTAAAGGGGATATAGGCCAGCTAATTTTATATTCTGTTACCAGAAGTCAGAAATTCGCCTCTGTGGTTCTGTGGTCTTCCGGGCTGAACTTTCTAATTGCTCTGGTGATGCGGATGAACTGCCGCTCTTACACCTCACGCGGGGCCTAAGTGGAATTTGCCCTCCACCATCTCGGTGCTCTCGGTGCGGTGAGTGTTGGAGTGTGTGTGCCTCGTTTACTTCTCTACTTCCCACCAGAACGTTCCAGTAAATTGCTTTAAATAGCTAAGACATTGCCCTGTGCCACGCACATGGTGTGAGTTCCTTACACGAGTTAAATAGCTAGACATCACCCTATGGTGTATGTGGCATGAGTCCCTTACATGGTACTTGGTTGACTACTCTGGTACATCCGTGTGCAAGCATGTTCCAAGTTATGAGACACGGGCCAGTTCCACAAAGGGGTCACCTTTAATGGAGAACTAGAATGAAACAACAGAGACTTGGCTCCACAAGGAGTGGAGTCTGTTAGACTTGGCTTTAGCATCTGTCGTGCCGAGGATCACGGCTACAAAGCTGATTCTCAGTGGTCAGTGGAGAAGGTGCCAGGCTATTCATGGCAAACTCCAGGGTGAACTGTTTCTGTAGTCCCGTGTGGTTCCCAGGCAACATCCAGATTCAGTAGCTGGACTGCTACGATTCAGCAGCCCTCAGGCCCTAGGAGGGCGTGGCTGCATGGTTACTATCCCTTTCTTTCTCCTCTTTGCTCAGCCTGGACCAACCTTGACCTGCTTCTCTGCTCTCCTTTCACTTAAGACTCAACCCTGAGGTCACTCTTGGGAAAACCTACCGACGTCAAATTTAATTTAAGATACACAGTGATGTCATGACTGACATTCCTAACCACCAGCTTTTCCTGTTGCAGACTACCTCAGTGGTGTCTAGAGTTCTTCAGGCATCAACCCTTTCCTTCTAAGCCCTCCTCCCCAACCTAAGCACTCTGCAGCAGATACCTGCCAGCCCCTTCTTCCCGCATGCACCATGCATGCCATTTCTAGTAACTGTGGCACTCATCACCTTGCTGCCAGCCCCTTCTTCCCACATGCACCATTTCTAGTAACCGTGGTGCTCACCACCTTTCAGACACCCGGTGTCAGGTACTTGGATTCTCCTCTTTTGTGTCGCTGTAAAGAAAAGGACCGGGTGTGGTGATGCATCTTTAATCCCAGCATCCAGAAGGCAGAGGTGGGTGGATCTCTGTGAGGCCAGCCTTTTTACAGAGCCAGCTCCAGGTAGCCAGAGCTGTATAATGGGGAGATCCTCTGTGTGTGTGTGTGTGTGTGTGTGTGTGTGTGTGTGTGTGAGAGAGAGAGAGAGAGAGAGAGAGAGAGAGAGAGAGAGAGCGCCAGGGCAGCTCCACTGCTTCAGTCTCCTATAAGGCTTTGGTGGGGGTGGGGGTGGGGCATCAGGACGGTGAGTCAGAAAGCCAGAGATGAGCTGGGGGCTAGACTTGGTATTGTATAACAACTCAGTCCTAGGAACTATGAAAACCGCCTTAATGATGTCCAGGCGTGGACCTACCTCCCAGCCTGCCACTCTGAAGAAGGGACACATAAAGCCTGAGGGTGGGCAGGGGATTTCTAGAAAGTCATATCCAAGCCACGGTGGTATCTACTGGTCCCTTGTTATCTTTTAGCGGAATCGCACTGCAGTCCGTGAGAGTGGACAGTAACCAAGGTACACAGCCAGGAAGTGGCAGAACAAGCCCAGAGTCCCTTCTTTCTGGACACCACCACCCACTTGCCCTCTGTCGTCCTCACGGGCAGAATCAGCAATGTCGCGCACTCCCTCTTGATGTGAGCTCCTTGGGCCTGCTCTGGCGAGCAAGTGGCAAATGAACTCATGAATGACACGGATGATATGGAACTTAATGAGGTACACAGAGGCAGATAATGTACTCTTATTAGTAGAAATTTATTTTTCTTCCTTCTTTTATTTCTTGTTTTGTCTTTCCTCCTCTCCCTTCCTCTTCCTCCTCTTCCCCTTCTTCTGTTTTTGTGAGACAGGGTTTCTCTGTATAACAACCCTAGCTGCCCTGGAACTAGCTCTGTAGACCAGGCTGGCCTCAAACTCACAGAGATCTGCCTGCCTCTGCCTCCCCAGTACTGGTACTATAGGCATGCACCACCGTATCCTGCACCAATTTTTTTTTTTTTTTTGAGGCAGGACTTCATGTATCCCAAAGCTAGCGTCAAACTCACTGTGTAGCCAAAGATGATTCTCATGCCTCTGCTCTCCCAGCTGCTGAGGTTAGAGGCACAGATTACCATAAGCACTTTACGGAGCTTGAACCCAGAGTTTTGTACATGCTAGGCAAGTGCTCTACCAACTGAGCCACCCGCACCCCCCCCCAGCCTCTTCTCTTTCTTTCTCAACAGTATAGTTACAGAACCTTAAAAAAGCACACATATAGACGTATGCACTGGTACCCTAACTTAATGATTAAGCAAATGAGGCACAGAACAGACAGTCATTTTGAGCAGGGTCATACCCAAGGAGGGGTGGCAACAAGATTTGGACCACAGTGGTTTGACTCTTAATCTGTACCGTGTGCTTTGTGTGCCCACAAAACAACCTTGTGAGACCAAAACAGGCTGACACATGATCAAAGGTGTGTACAGAGAGCTCAGTGGCAGAGGGTAGAATTGAACCCCGCAGGGCCCCACCCTGCAGTTTGCTGCATAGTAGGCCCTACTGTGCAAATGGGTTACAAAAAAATTCCCATGGGAACCAGGAGATGGCTGAAAGTGCTTGCCCTAGGCCTAACTACCTGAGTTGGATCCTTGGAATCCACACGGTGGAAGGAGGAACTGGCACCTGGAAGCTGTCCCCCCTCTCTGTGTGCACCCATGACATGCAAGCCCCTCCCTCAATAAGTAAATATTTTTTTTAAAAAGTTTACCCCTTTGGATGTCAGTGTGGCGATTTCTCAGAAAATTAGAAAACAACCTTCCTCAAGACCCAGCAATACCACTTTTGGGTATATATCCAAAGGATGCTCAATCGTGCCACAAAGACATGTGCTCAGCTATGTTCATAGCAGCATTGTTTGTCATAGCCAGAAACTGGAAATAACCTAAATGCCTTTCAGCCAAAGAATGGATAAGGAAAATGTGGTACATTTACTCAACGGAGTACTACACAGCAGAAAAAAAAATAACGACATCTTGAATTTTGCAGGCAAATGAATAGAACTAGAAAACATCATTTTGAGTGAGGTAACCCGGACCCAGAGAGACAATTCTCACATGTACTCACTCATAAGTGGCTTTTAAACAGAAAGCAAAAAAAACCAGCCTACAAATCACAATCCCAGAGGACTTAGACAACAATGAGGACCCTAAGAGAGACATACATAGATCTACATGGGAAATAGAAAAAGACAAGATCTCCTGAGTAAATTAGGAGCATGGGAACCTTGGGAGAGGGTTGAAGGGGAGGGGAGAGATAGGGAGGGGAGCAGAGAAAAATGTAGAGCTCAACAAAAGTAAAAAATAAAATATTTATGCTAAATATCATAAACACTATGAATTCAGATAAAAGGTACCTTGGAGACTTAGGAAAAAATAAAAGTTTAAAAATCCAGTGAGAGAAAAAAAAAGCAAAAAAAAAAAAATCCAGGTGAGAATATGCAGGGCAGGGACTCTCTGAGTCACCTCTTTGTTCTTTGTAAAGGGGGCTCTGGCTGGTTCCTGTCAGGTAGTTTTGGGGTATGTGTGCAAGGTTTCTTGGGCATCCCTGCCATGGTTTTCTGTGTCCCAGTTCTTCGTTTATCATCTTTCCAGCTCCGCAAGAAGTTCCGTGGATCACAGGGTCTCATGGGGGATAAATAATGCCAACCTTCTCACATGTGGAGAAGCCTGTTCTTGTGAGGTGTCCCATGGAGCTGGACTTGGGGTCTGTTCTCCCCAGCTGCCCGGCCTGTCTGCCAGCCCAGGCCTATTGCCAGCACCAAGACCGACTTTGGAGCCCTCCGCTGGGGGCTCTGGCTGTGTGAGCAGCATCTGGATTTGATGTGCTGATTTCCAGCAAGAGACAAAGCAGACTCCCAAAGAGCATAACTTTGGCCCAAATAGGGCTTGTCTGCAAGACGAAGATGAGTGTAGCGTCACCGTTTCCTTCACCCCCACTTCCAAAAGCTAAAGCAGACTTTCTAAGAGCAAACGGCTTTAATATTCCGAAGTTGCTTTCCTTGGTCTGTGGTACGCAAAAGTCAAAGTGCTCCAAAGCGCTCCTGAATGGCAGATAGCGTACCTGGTCCAGCAGAGGCAGCGACACTCCTGGCAGGTTTCTACCTCCTACCTGCACTCTGTCATCTTTATATCCTGCCGTCTGCCCCAGGCTCATTCTAGAACTGCCGTCCCACCTGGTTTGGGTTCGAATAGAAAGAAAGAATTTGATTTCCTGGTGACAGTTCCTTATGGCAAAGTGTAAAGGTGAGTCTTGGACTGAAATATTCCCAGGGCATAAGTCCATGTAAAAATAAAAACAGTTTTAGTAACCTCATTGACCCAACTGTTGGTGGTGGCGGGGAACCTGCTCTTACTTTAAAGAATTAAAAACAATTTTTATTTATTATTATTATTATTACGTGTGTGCACATGCATGCGCATGCATGTGTGTGCTATGGTATGCGTGTATAGGTCAGAGGACAATTTTGGGGAGCTGATTTTCTCTTTCCATATTATTTTTGAGGCAGAGTCTCTCTCGTTTCCAAGCTGGTTGGCCCTCAATCTTCTGATACACTGACCTCCCACATCCCTGTAGAAGTGCTGGGATAGGAAACCCATTGCCACATCAGGCTGTGTTACATGGGTTCTGGGGATTGAACTCAGGTCATGAGGCTTACTGGCAAGGGCTTTTGTCTGCTGCGTCATCTGCCTGGTCATAAGTTTTACTTCTAGTAGGAATTTTCTAGACTCTTTTGTCACCCTATCCAGTCCTCAGTGATCCCCATCCTGACTCCTCCTCTTTGGGTATTATGAAAATGTCTGTTATACCTCCCTGTTACCTCAATCTTTTTTTTTTTTTTGGTTGTTGTTCTTCCCACCCCCACCTTCCCCTAGAAACAGGGTTCTTTGTGTAGACTTGATTGTCCTAGAACTCACATTGTAGACCAGGCTGACCTCAAACTCATAGATTTGCCTGCCTCTTACAAGTGTGTTGTGGGCAACGCCACATTGGGCTGCCTCATCTCATAAGCTGCGCTGTTGGGTTGCCATATGCTGGGAGTCACAGTTTTGGGGTGACTTCTACCACGGTCCTAGCCACAGAGGGTCTGTACATCCCAGGATAGGAGCGTGAGGATTAGAAAAGTTAGGAAGGAGGAATAGGGATAAGAAAGAATCAAAGAGATGTAGGATAGGACCAGGAGGGCAGCTCAGTGACTCTTGCACACTTAGTTCTTGGTTCTGAGTTCTGAGTCTGCCTGTGTTTAATTTTCCATATACTTTTATACCCCAATACAACAGGGGGGAAAAGGCAAAAGACTGCTTTAACATGATACAAAGGACAACCAGAACAGTTACTTGCTTCAATGCTTTGAGACATCAAGCCATTACTTCTTGAGAAAAGCATTCTGTTGTTTAGGCAGTGAACCCACCCTAGATTGCATCCTGAAGCAGCCACTCTCTAGGTCAAACCTCCTATTTCAAAAGAAGGAACAGAAATATGCTTTTCTGATCATTGGTCAGGGTGGAGTGGATTTACCTCTATGGGTCATCTTAATGTCCAAACCACGAAGTAACCACACCCTAAGTCAAGGCGTGTAGCCACAGTTATTGTCAACAGCTTTGAAGAAGCCAAAACTCTCTGACCTTTGGACAAGGTGGAATAGGCTCACATTTTTGGGCCTTCACATGAGTGCTGGGATTAAAGGGGTATGCCTCCACCACCCAAATGAGACTCCATCTTTTTGAGATTGAATTTCTGGGTAGGGTCTCGGAACATGCCATTTCCTTTACATGCCATTTCCTTTAGAGACATAAAAACATTGTTGTCCTTACTATCCTAGTGAACATGGTAGAGACTGAGACTATTTAATACATGGGATACTGGGAGTGTCTTTTGGTTACCGAGTCCTCTTCAGTAATGCTGTAGGAACATTTTGTATTTGGCTATGTTGAATAAGGGCTTTCTCTGCAGGACTGTATCCTGAGCATTTATGGAGCACTCGAGTCTTTGAAGATTTGAAAGTCTTTCATGACTGCAAGTCAGGAACAAGTCGGACTGATGATTCACGGATCCTGTATTGCTGGTTGCCGGGGCAACTAAGCCCTGCTTTGCTATGCCTCAATGTGGCTAGACCGGGTGCTCCAATCAGAGCGCGTGCCACAGTCCCACTTTATGTCACAAAGCCTTGAAGACAAAAACAGGAATTTAGTTCTGCATGGTGGAGTCTGCTTCATGAAGCCGGCTCCTGCCACGGCCCCCAGTCCTCTCGGGATGGCATTCACTGCAGCTGTTATTTTGGGCCTCGTCGCAGAGACTTGCTATTCGCACAAGAGTTCCTCAGATGAGTTAGCTCCAGAGATGACTGAAGCGTGTTCCTTAGTCATCAGCCGCTGTGTGTTCTCCTTTCTACCCTTCACAGACTCTCCCTCCCCCTCCCCCGCACCCAGGATGCTTTCCTGGTTTGTAGATTTGATCGACTGATTGATCTTTCCCAGAATGCCCAATAATTCATTCTTGACTTCTCTCAATGCTCCTTTATCTGAATGATAAATGGGGATCACAGACTGATACCCACTACCGAATCTGGCCATTTTAAATGGGTTTGGGCTGTAAATTCAGGTTGTTTACAATAGACAGTCCTTTGCTCCTTTTTCTTCCTTCCTTCCTCCCTCCCTCCCTCCCTTTCTGCTTCCATCTTTATGTGTTTATATGATCATGTATACACACATGCTTTTGCATGTACATCTGGAGAAGGAAGAGGATAGGGATCAATGCCAGATGTTTTCCTCAATAGTTCACACACAAACACAGCTCTCTGTCTGTCTGTCTGTCTGTCTGTCTCTCTCTCTCTCTCTCTCTCTCTCTCTCACACACACACACACATGCACGCACATCCTGAGTGGTAATCCCTTATCTAGATGTTCATTGATCCATCACCTGCTTGCTGAAGATCATCATAATCGCTCTAGCTTGGAGTGAACGTGCTAGAAACATCTTTGTAGCTCTGACATGGATGCAAGATGCAGTCTCGTTTCTTTTGGGTGAACACAAAGAAACAAGACTGCTGGCTCTGTCGAACTTCGAGAGAAATCAGAATGTCTGAACTGTTACATTTCCGCCCATGATGCATGGCGTTCCTTTCGAATCACATCTTTGGCAGCATTTGATGTTGTCATTGTTGTGAGTTCTGGCTTTGCTAATGTGTCCACTAGCATCTCGCTGTTTGACTTTTGACTCCCTGAAGACACAGGAGGTGGAGTATTGCATCACACACTTACTTCCCATCTGTTTGTGTTCTCCAGAGAGCTGTCTAGTCAAGACTTTTCTCCTTTTTATCCTTTTAAAGGATAGGAGAACCAGGCTCTCCCATGTGCTGAGCAAGCTCCTAACCATGGAATACTCTGTCCCAAATTGGTTCTTGGTTTTTCGAGACAGGGTTTCTTTGTGTAGTTGTGGCTGTCCTGGAACTTGCTCTGTAGACCATGTTGACCTCGAACTCACAGAGAGCCATCTGTCTCTGCCTCCGGAGTTCTGAGATTAAAGGCATATGCCACCAAAGTTTTAATTTTTTTTTTTGACACAGTGACTCGTTATGTAGCCCTGACTAGCATGGAACTCTCTATGTAACCCAGGCTGATTACAGTTCATAGAGATCTTCCTGCCTTTGCTTCCTGAGTGCTGGGATTAAAGCATGTATCACCATGCTTTAATCTGGCTTTTGGTAAACCTTTTAAAAATAATGCTCCTTTATCAGATGTGACTCGCAAATATTTTTCTTCCTATCCTGTCAATTCATTCTCTTGAGAGTATCTTTGTAGAAGAGCCATTTTTTAGTTTCAATAAGGCCCATTTTATCAGTCCCTGTATAGATTGATTGTGCCCTGTAGACACAACTTTGTTTTCTTTCTCTATTAGGTTTGGAAAGGCTCCCTGAAAGGTGGATAATGAGGTCCAGATGCGCACATGGCCAAGCCAAGAGCAGAGCCCGAAGGTGAGGCTCTCCAGGGACAACTCCCGAGCCCTCAGTGAATTGCCACCATAGAAACAGTGACCTTTTCACAGGGAAAGAATGATAGGGCGGAGCTGGAGAGCTGGTTTAGCAGTTGGGAGCACTTACTGCTCTTCCTGAGGATGTTCTAATCCTAGCATCCGCATTAGGTGGCTCCCAACTGCCTGTAACTCCAGCTCCAGAGAGTGAGTAGGTATCCCAGGGCACCTTCAAGTATACACACACACATACACACGCAATTCACAAATAAAACAAATCTTAAAAATAGCATTAAGTGACAACAATCTGATGCAACCCACTGTCTCCATTTGATCCTAATTTCTCTGCTTTAAATAGTTGTGATATTTGGGGAACCATGATGCAAAGTGGAATATTGCTTGAATATTGCTCGTAAATGCTATAAAACTCATTAAAATGATGATGGCTCTTTAGGCATGGTCGTATTTATTTTCATTATGTACATTATACTTTTTTATAAAATTGCATGCTTAAGTATTTAGGAATGAAGGCAATGACATTTGCAATTTCCTTCTAAGTGTACCAGCACTGAAACCAAAGAGAATGTAAGAGACTAAACTCTGGAAAGCCCAAAGTGATGATGAATGCTTGTAATCTCAACTCCCAGGAGACCATGCTGGCAGAGTAGTCGTGAATTCAAGGCTAGCTTTGGCTGCATCGTGAGGCTCTATCTCAAGAAAAAACAAAAACAGAAGAACTGAATTTTGGATCTCATTAGATACTTATTTATTAAGCTAGTTAACCCAAAAGACTGCGTTTCAGGGCTGAGACATGACTCAGAGGTCAAGAGCACATACTGTTCTTGTTGAAGACCCAAGTTCAGTTCCCAGGACCCAGGTCACGCAGCTTACAGTTACAGGTCAGAGGTGAAGAGTTGGTACTGGGACATAGAAAGGGCCTGGATTCTGCCATTCATTTTACTGTGGTTCTTAGACAAAATGTTTCCATCTGTGCCTCAGTTTCTTCAACTGTGTAGGATGGACGTATTACAGGTGAGCCTATTATACAAGATAATCGTCAGGATACATGAGTTAGTACATATAAGGCCACTGAAACAGTTCCTGGCAGGTAATGATAACTGTGTCAGTTTGAATCATTTTTAAGGTTCTCGGTACTAAAATGGATGATTCTAGCCTGTGCTCAGTTGACATAAAAGATACAATCAGTGTGACTTCCTGGGTTTTCTTGTGAGTTGATAGTAGCCATGGCAGTGCCCTGTGCCTTGGGATTCAACTTTGAGTTTTACCATGCAGGTGTTGAGACCTGCCCAGAGTTAGGTTTTTGGGCCTGGTGAACAGCAGTGCTGTCCAACAACACTTTCTCTGATTGGTGTAGCTTTCGGGCTAGTATCCCATTAAAAACTCCATGTAACTAAAGATAATATTCAGTTTAGAGTTTTCCGATGTCACTTCATTACTATGAACACTGAGCTGGAATTCACCTCCTTAGAAAAGTTAAAAAAAAATGTAAGAAATTTTCCACACAGAACCTTAAATCTGACATGCGATGATTTAGGAATGCTATCATTGTCACCAGCAAAACAGATGGAATTTAGTGACTGTGGCTCCTGGGTGCAGTTGGAGGTGTGTTGCATGGCAGTTCATGGTACCAATGACACTCTTCTGTTTTGCATCAGATGTGGTTGCAGTCTGTGCTGTGTTGGAGGACACTTTCACACAAGTGTGATGTGTAGTCCGAGGACGGCCTTGGCTCCCTTACTCTGCCCTCTTGTCCGGCTCCTTTGTTCCTCTAGACAGCTTTTCTTATATTTTCATGTCATGTACCCATATGATTTGATGAGTCTATTAGCACAAAAATATAGGAAGCAAATTAAAGAAACCTCGTGTCTGTCTTTCTGAGACTGGTTTTGTTCACTTAATATGATCAGATCCGGTTACATCCATTTTTCTAAAAACGACCTAACTTTGTTCTTTACAGATGTCAAAAATTCTGTTCTATATATATGCCTCATTTGTGTTTTGACAGGGTCTGTAGCCCAGGCTTGCCTTCAGTTCACTTTAGCCAAGAATGACGCTGAGCTCATGATTCGCCTGCCTCTCCTTCCCATGCACTGAGGTTACAGGCTTGTACTGCCGCCCCTAGTATGTATGTACCCCATTTTCTGTGTTGATTCCTCGTTGATGGACACTTGATTGGCGCCATGAGTTATCTATTGTACACAGTGCTGTAGCAGTAAACCCTGTGTGCAGGTGTCTCTGTGTCGTGTTGACTTGAATCCTTTAGGTAAATACCCAGGTTTGCATATCTGGGTCATATGGCAAATGTGCTTTTAATTTTTTGAGGAACCTCAATACTGATTTCCATAACGGCTGGACTAGTTTGCATCCCCGCCAGCAGGGTATAAATGCTTGATTTATCCACATCCTCACCAGAACTTTCGTTATTTGTTTTCTTAATAAGACAGATGGCTTTGTTTTTAATCTTCTGTGATGGGATAAGGTGGCACCAGAACTTGGATCTGTGATTCTTTGGCCATCAGCACTTCCTGGGCACATACAAGATGTTGGCCTCAGGTCTAGCTAGACATGAGGATGTTGAAATAGACAAAGCACAAAAACCCTGCTGTGGACATCGTGAAATAGACACACCGAGGAGGCGGTGAGTGGTCAGAATTGGAAACTTCCAAGATTAAGCACATACTAGCCTATCTGCTGAGAAGGTCGCCTGCAGACAGGTTTGGTTTTCTAAAGAAAAAGGTCTCTAAACAGATCACAAGTCCCTGAGGAGTGGAAATTTTGATTCTAAATCTGGGATTTCCCCAGGGGTGGGGTGCGGGGGGAGAGCATTGTCTTTGAAGAAACTGCTTAAAACAAATAAACACATGCAGACACATGGTGGGGAGGAGCATGCACACACACACAAATACACACAAAGAACGCACACACAAGCACACACTCATCACACACACACACACACACACACACACACACACACACGGGGAGAGAGAGAGAGCAAGAGAGAGAGAGAATTTTTCCCCAGATCTTTTCAAAGCATCATCCATCCTAGGCAAATTTTATAAATAAGAGAACATACCTTTCACAATTTGGGCTTGTCCAGCCCACTGAACTGCGATTCCTTTTGCTCCTATAGGTACCCACAGCCATCTCCATACATCCCACTGAACAGAACACCCAGAACAACTTCATAATAAAATGACCTTCATGCTGCTAGTGTCTTAATTCACAGGCTTGACTTTCAGTCCCTTAGCAAGCAGACTGACTGCCCTCTTGTGCCCACAGCATCTCTACAACGGTCTGACCTACTTGAAGGGCCCAAGGGAGCACACAGAAGCACATGAGGTAATAATGCAGGATTAAAAAAACAATCAATGCTCAGGAGGTTTGAGATATGTATAAATAGCAGGATGCTGTAGTTTGCATTTACATAGAAATTTAACAGGCCTGTCAAGGAAGTGTGTGCCTCTAATCATAGCACTTAGGAGGCCAAGGCAGGAGGATCACAAGTTCAAGCCCAGTCCAAGCTTCATAGGAACATCCTGCCGAAACAAAGCAAAACAAAACAAGGTGGGAACCGTCCCACAATTCCTGGTTCAAGATTGTTGCTTGTTATTCATTTAAATAAGTAGCTCTCATAAGGAATTTTGACAATTGGCATTTTCCTATAAACA